ATTCATTCGAATATCGAGTGTTTCATATTTTAATCGTGCCTTCAAGATTTCTAATATTTAATTACTTGTCCTGTAAAGTAATGAAATTGCATTTATCATATTCTGACCTATGACCACAGATTATAATGCTCGCGCCGGCGCTCGGGCTGATCTATCGGCTGTCGGTTTTTTGCGCGAACACAAAGGCGCTCGCAGTGCCGTTTATTATTACATTACACGTTACACTTGCCTAAACCCGGCCTAAGGCGATGTTTTCCTAGTAGTTTTGATTGCTGTTAATATGGTTGATTGCAGGAAAGGAAAAGATTATTTTGATTTAGAACAATAGTATCTATTACATGCCGATTCCGGTAAAAATATTCGGTGTTACAGGATATTTTTATCTGCTCCATTTTAGTCTTATTTAAAAACATTCTAGGAACCATAAATCAGGTTTCTCTAAAAACCAACCAATAACGCTTATTTCATATTAAATTTTCTACTAAGCGACATTTAAATGAAAGTTTCAATTCAAGGTAATATCAAACTTCTTGGATATAGACGAAAATGACACAATATTGGGAATAAAAGGTGAAGTAATTCACACTTACAACAAAAACGAGGCCGCTATCAAGAACACTGAGTATTACGAGATGGTTAAGGAGAGAAACAACGTCATTCTAATGGGAGACAACATCGGGGATGCTGGGATGGCGGAGGGGATGGACCACTGCGACGTCATAATTAAAGTGGGATTCCTCGGGAGGAATGTGGAGGGAAATCTCCAGAACTATTTAAATAAGTTTGATATTGTTCTCGTTAATGACCACACTGTTAATGTGGTTAACGCCATATTGAAACTCATGCTGTGATTTTTCAGATTCTTTTACAGATTTACGCATATCATTACTGACGGGAAATTTTTGCGTGCTATTTACTAAATATTTATACTTTTATAGTATAAGGTCCATAGGACGTTATTTTGTTTTCATTAAAGATATTTATCATTTGTTTTCGTATTAAGAATATTCATGGTTATTTATATTTTATTTTACACTATGTTGACTTGAAAATCTGATAAAAACCGAAAAATATATAATATCTTAAAAATAGAAACAGGTTTTTGTTGTGTGCTTTAATTAGGATGATGTTCCTTTAGGAGATTTTTAAAAAACTGCCGGTTTTAAATTGTATATAAGCATTTCTATTTCATTATAATCTAGTTATATACAATACAATTTTGAGTATTATATTTAAAGCCAAATATAGCCAAAGGCTTCATTAGTACAATTATTACCTCTGAGATTTTTTAAACAGATAACGCAGCAGATGTATAAATAATAAGTTAAAAAGCATATTGTCCGTGATTGGAGCTGGATTTTGCAGTGTTTTTATTCATCTTATTTAGCTAAATTGGCTTTTAAATTGTTGTCCTACTTTTTATGTGTATGAATTGTTTTGGTCACGCTTTTTGTATATAAGTATTATTACAATTTTAACTCGAAAAATTGACAATGCAATCCACACAGTCTACTCTGTGCTTTTTCTTGTGCGGTGTCTAATTGAAGATAATCTTGAAACTTAGAAAATTTTAGATTAAAGTATGTATATTTTATTAAAAATTCCATTAAATTAAGGATTGTTTTTCTACTCACTCAGAGGTGATACGGACCCACGTTCATGGTATACTTATAGAAACGTTCTAACGTCTATGAATTTGGGTCCTAACGTAAATTAGTTGACATATGGTGATAAATAAAACAACTTTAAAAAATTAAATACTTTGTTTATTTTTTAAAAACAACACTTGGATAAATGTATTTTCTAGTCATCGCTGTGCTTGTGAAAACAATGGAATAAATTTTTCTCTCAATACTAACATCCGAGGGGTTACAGCAACCTCTAAGCTATGGAAGATTATTACTAAACTAAAACGCAGTTAAACGCTAATATTCGTTGACGAGACTAGGTATAATTTAAAATACTGCTAATTCAACCAATTATAACACTCATAAATTTCTCAATTCACAACACCTGTGCAAATAACAGGTGCAAACATAAATGCAACGTTCCTTTATAATCTATGCATTTTCGAAATAATAGGAACGTATAGGCAACAATATGCAAGCGATAACATTTTTTAATTTTTAATAAAATGCAATTTGGTATAGTCAATTATGGCAAGAAATATTCGTGTTGCCATGAAAGTTGAAATTTATTGTCATAACCTGATATTTTCAAGCAATATTTGGATTAAGTACGGGTATCTAAAAGCAAGATTAATTCGTATTTCAATAGATGCACCTTAACACAATGATTTAAAGATGCAATTACAATGAAGTCTTCCTAATGAGAGTTAATAATTCGTCTGACTGGAAAATACATGGAACTACTTCTTTCAAATTAAAAGATTTAAATAAACAACAGTCTTAAAACATACGGTTATTTACACAAATATTTTTTAATATAAAAATATCCTACTGTACATGTAACAATAATTGTCAATGTAGAAATATATAATTTTTATTTACAATAACTAGAAACATTATTAAAAATAGTCAAATCTTTAGGAATCCCAGGCAAAGGCGGGGAGAACTTGGTTGTGAAATATGCACTTACAGGAAACACTTGTGGTTAGAAGGCACTTGTGTAATTTACGAGGAATCTAACACTAAGACCACTCAAATGTTTAAAATACTCATGTCTCTTTTCATCACGGCGTAAAAACAAGAGACGTAAGAGTACTTTAGTTTAAAAGTGAAACGGATTGCTGCTTTTAAGAATCTGTGTATGGCAAATATATAGATTTAGTACATAATAGTGTATAACATCGAATTGAGATTTTTGCAAATTGACTAGATTCATTCCGATTTTAGTCAGTCACAGAATAAACAAGCGTGATTAATAGTATATGAACAATATTTTTAAATATTATATGAAAAATATAGCTTCTGAAGCTTTAATCTGTAAAAGTTGAAGCTGTCATTGAAATTATTTTAAGAAACTATTTAACGAAAATCAGTTCTATTATTTTTGAAGAACATCTTTTTTGACAGTTTTTTTCACCTCACGCTTAGCGTAATAAACACCATGCACTCGGACTAATTAACTTGTCTCTGTCTAGCAGTACTTACAAGAAAGAGACGCTTCATCTTTAAGTGGCAAAGAAACTGTTTATAAGCGTTAAGTGCGGTTATTGCCAAGAAAAATGGCTAAAATGAAAATAATCATTGCGGTTAAACCCGCCGTGGCCGAAGTCAAGTGCATATTTCACTCCAAGTAGTGCAGTCTAAGGCAAGTCGCACCGGCGGGCACAAAATATCACTTAACCGGTTATAGAAACCCAAGTAAAGGTAACTAAGGGTCAAGCTCGATAATACTCCAGACGTCTTGGTCCCTTTATCACGAAGTCTAGAGCAGAGATCACAGCCTAGTTCATTCTTCACTCACCGTCACGTGATCGACGCCACGTCGGAGCTCCTTTGGAGGCCGTCCTCGTCCGTCGATCTGAAAGACATTCATTAAAAGACTCCATAAACAATAAATATCATTTTACAAGTGCCAAATACTTTTCTTGGCCGGCGGCTGAAATTGGTGCTACAGTCGCCATTTTGAAGTTACACTTGGTGCGTACAATAAATAATTTTACTATCTACCAACATCTAATAAAAATTAATTACAATGGCAAAGCTTTAATTTTCGAACGGTTCTGATTGCTAGGTATCTTAAAATATATTATATTAATAGACCTGTACTATATCTATCATATCAGTTGTTCCTAAGTTTCTGTTACATATATAAAAGTAAATAGTAAAAAAATCATTTAATCACATAGGTAACATAATGTACACTTATGACTTGTCAGTAAAGAAATACATATGAATGCTTTTAATTTTACATTTACTGCCAGTTCTCAAATCAAGGGCGTAGAACAGGAGAGAAGAACTGGCAATAAACTCTCCGCCACTCTCATTTTTTTGTTTTATAAAATGTTTGTAAGGAGCTGCAGCCATTACACCATGTCCCATGTGACATTTTAAGTAATTCATAATAATAAAAGCCTAGAACTGTATTTTCTAGATACTAGTATACATTGTTTTATTAAGACATTTCAATAATTTATTGAGTTCGCTTGCATGACTTCAAATTAGTCCCCTTATAATGATTAACTTTTATTTACTGGCAATACTAATATCCATGACAGCGACGACCTGCCAAGAAAAGTATGTGCCACTGTGAATCTCAAATCAAATTTCAAATTAAAACATCTGTTGAAGTTTGACAGTTGTCAGTTTCATACATAAACTTTGACATTGTTTAGTCTGTCAAAATTTATTATGTAAAGAGGAAGGCAACTGGCGACCTTATATTACAACTGTGAGAAAAAAAAATAAGGTGAGCGCAAGAAGTGCAAAATTACATAAGATATGCAATAACTTATAAAGAACGGAACAAAAAAAAACAAAGCAATTGAAACATATGTAGACAATAAAAAGGACACATAAATCACTTAAAATTATATAGAAAAAATGGTTTAACATCTCTTGTAGTAATTGTTTAGGAAACATTCTAACGAGCAAATATTGATTGAAAAATCCATTAGCCGAGGTTCTAACGACGTTGATTTTAATAAATACAGAGTAGAGATATATATTTTAATAAATGGATGCGTAAAAGCAAAGCGTGTTATTAAAATGCCATATTAAAAGTTACCTGTAGACGTGTGCGGAGGCAGTGGTGGTGTGATAGTGGGCGGCGTAAGGCAAGCGGGACCTCGCGTGTCTCCGTCTCGCTTGCACCGCGCGACCCACTGCGTCCGGGTGGGACGAGTTTCGCACCGCGTGACATGCCAGTCTGGGAAGATGCAATTTGTGACGATAACCGTACGTAACGAAGTATTACGTAACGAATTTTGGGGAAGGGGTCTATTTGTAAAACGTTACGATGCGGGACGGGGATTGAATTACGCATTATTTTTAATATTATTTACGACTTTCCAGTACTTTACACCACATAATGGTGACTTTTAGGTATAAAGAGTCACTGGGTGGTCACGAAACGTTAAATAAATAAATAATATAAACAAATATAAAAAGTAAAGTATTGGATACAGAAAAAGGTTACGGCGCGTTACATGTGGGGGAGAGGGGGGGTGTTAATAATCTCCGAAAATTGCGTGACATAATACTTGAACGCTCCCTTAGAGGAACATACCAAGAATCTAAAATTAATTAATTTTTCCAGAGGACATACTCTTCAGCTCCTCAAAACAAACATAAATTCAAGTAAAACTTATAACAAGAACTTTTTTGCGAAACATCGTCTTTAACATCTAATCTAATTTTCTCGCGATGTTCCAAGTAAACATTTTTTTGCAACAATATTGTATTTACTATTTATATTTACTACCAAGTATCTCATATATAAAACATATAGAAATATATAATCCTTAAAAGAATTCAAATTTTGGACCTTCGAGCCGGATTATCTTACCTCGGGGCGAGCGCAGCAGCAGTTGTTAGTACGACCACGAGCCAATATATGGGGTCAGCTAGTGCGTGCTGCATCACGTGGAACGTGGAGGGTAGATTGAAACAGGACACGCAAACCGCTCCGTACACGAGCGTCAAAGCGTAGAACGAGGCCAGAGAGCCGCACAGCGCTATCACTTGGATTACCGTCTGGGTAAATTAAAATTCATTTTTAATTTCGTTGATATAAATTAATATAAAGGTTACACAAGATTTTGTTTCGTGGCTCTTAATGTTTAATAAGCGTTGTTTTTTTTTGCATTGCGTGCTAATAATTTAAAGATTATTTCTATTTTCAATTTGTGACTCTAAGTGCCATCCACACCCAACTTACAAGTCTTAAATGAAATAGCTGCGTGAAATTACAAGAATTAAATCGTTTACTTAAAATTTTAACCATAATATTACCGAAACAATTAAATAACATAACTGACGTTATGTTTCCTTAAAAAGTAAACGTAAATTTTATTCCCAATATTTCTACAATTTTAACGTAACCCTTACGAAGCGAAGGGATAGAAAAACAATTATGAGATTTTAATATTTTTGGACTAAAATATTATATATTAACAACGGTCCATATTATTGGTATACTCTGATTTTTAATTCCGTAGAATTCTAACATTTCATAAATGTTGCTACTAAAAAAGGTCCACCGAAAAAGGGAGAAATTTGACCCATTTTAGGGCACTAAAATAAAATGCTACGAATTTTTTATATTTTACCTACAAAATAGTAAATCTTAATATTAAAAAAAAAAAAAAAAAAAAAAAAAAAAAAAAAGAGAAAAGAGGGGGGGGGGGGGGGGAAAAAAAAAAAAAAAAAAAAAAAAAAAAAAAAAAAAAAAAAAAAAAAAAAAAAAAAAAAAAAATTCACACCAAAACAAAAAAAAAAAAAAACAAAAAAAAAAAAAAAAAAAAAAAAAAAACCTCAAAACACCCCCCCACCCCCTTTAACACACAGAAAAAAAAAAAAAAAAAAAAAAAAAAAAAAAAAGAGGGGGGGAGGGGGGGGGAGGAAGAGGGAAGGAAGGGGGGGGAGGGGGGAGAAAAACCAACCACAAAAAAAAAAAAAAAAAAAAAAAAAAAAAAAAAAAAAAAAGGGGAAAAAAGGAAGAGAAAAGGGAGACAAAGAAGGGGGGAAAAGAAAGGACCCCCCCCCCCCCCCCCCCCCCCCCCAGAACCCCCCAAAAACCCCCCAAAAAAAAAAAAAAGGAAAAAAAAAGGGCCAAAAACCCCCAAAAGGAAGAAAGGGGAAAAAGGGAAAAAAAAGGGAAAAAAAAAGGGGGGAAAAGGGGGAAAAAGGGGGGAAAAAAAAAAAGGGGGGAGGGGGGGGGGGGGGGAAAAGTAAATGAGGAAGGTTTGTGTGTTTTGGTTGTTTTAATTTTTGGTGGTAATTTCTGTTTTTTTTTAAAAAAACTCCCATTACTTATTTTTGAAGAAAACCCTCGAGGGAAATTTTGCGGGTTTCTTTCCGATCCCTAGCTCGTAACAATATTTACTTACTCAAGTGACCTATATACAAAAATAACAAATATTTCAATTTCACGAACAATATATCGAATCAACTTTAATTACTTTATTTTATTCTTTAGCTGGCATCACTGCCTACTAATTCCAGGTTTAGTAAACCTTTTAAAAAAAATAAGATGTTATCATTACTTGTGCGTTTTTTACTGTTTGTTATGAAAAGGGACTTAATTATCACACGCTGTTAAACCACTTTTAATGTTGAGCACCGCAATTAATAAAATGGATACATTCACTAACAAATAAAATGTTTGTATACAGTCAGTTGTTGACTCGTATAGAAATTGAAAAATGAAAAATCGAAAAACATTTTGGCCGGGCAGGCCAAAAATGTTTTTAATCTCTGACATGTCAAAAAATGATAGCTGTCAGAATTCTACGGAATTAAAAATCAGAGCATAGAAAATTGGTTCAAACCTCTTCTACTAGGGTCATCCTTATGAAGTCTATATTATTTTTAAACACTTTCAAAGAAACTTACCCAACTTCTCGTCTCTATAGCGACGTACACAAGCATGATGACCAGACAGCAGGTCATACAGCAGTCCCCAAAGGCCCATATGTCGACGTCAGTATCGTTGTAGGCAGTTCGACAGGAGAAGAATATCACAATACTGATATAGAGAGACTCGGCTAGCACGAGCCAGTATGAGTGAGCTCGATATGCAAGACCGCGCCGTGACGCGCTGTAAAGTCCCGGACGCTCGGTTAAAAGCGACGCGGGCGCAACGCGATCGTATGCGCCTGAAAGGAAATAATATCTATTAGGAAATTGTCTAAAAACCAGTGGATACAACTCTTGGTTTAGGTCTGGAGACTTCTGTTTCTTTTTTGAGATATTTGATGTGAAACTTCTTTATCGGCGTTGGAAAAAAAATTACCGTCACATTTTTCCGTTACGCGCCATCTTTTGTCCTTGCCACGGTTGATTCGAAGCCATTAATAACAACAAAAATGTGTGCGTCTACAAGAATACACACGTAAGAAATGAAACTTCTTTATGACCTTCTTTTTCGAAAAAATGATGTACTATTTGCAACTTTACAGAAATTGGTTAAATAAGATAAAGTTTAACAAAAGGCTTTTATTATCATAGAAATGAATACGAATAATTCAATTATTTCATTTTACCTTATTACTACTAAGATTATTACAGAATTTAATTAATTGTAATAGAATTATTATTATCACTGTTATCGTTATTACATATTTTTGAAGTGAAACTTCTTTATCGGCGTTGTAAAAAAGTTTAAACTTTAACTAATTTAACTTTATTTAACAAGTTGCAAAAAAAACGACGGGTTGCACTACGGGAGTGCCGGCAGTAGTGAAAACTTGAATATTAACGTTGTGCATTTTTGATATTTTGAAATGGTAAGGGGATAATTTTGCACGAATTGCTTTAATTATCAGTAAAAAAGTACTATCATTTATGTGGTAGAATACAATATTTATTTATTGCGCTATCGTACACAAACATGACAATTTATATTACACTAGCCGTTTCGCGCCCGCTTTGCTGGACGAATTAAAATAAATTTTATGTTTCATTATTTTATTTTTTTTTCATATTTTTATTATTCTTCTTTTTAACTTCCCGCTAAGAAAATAGAAATATTTCGAAAATCGAGTTTTTAACAGATGTTGACGTTTAGAGGTTCTAGGAAGCCTCCCGAATGTTTCCGCGGTGAAGTCCGTATGGATAAATTTTCATAAAAGTAAAACAGCAATAAAAAAAAATAGCCATAAACCATCTAGGAAAAATTCGCATGAATGGTGGTGTTTCATGTCGATACGATCAGTGGTTTAGGCGTGAAGGAGCCTCAAACGAAGACCATTTTTCTTTTATATATATAGATTAAATACGCCGCGCCAGCTGTCTTCTCTCCATCCATCTTAAGAATTTTCGATCAGGTCACGTGTCCTGACGCGAGTTTAACATTTTTTACCCATTCCAAAAAAAGTGTACAACACCGCTAAAGAAGTTTTCATTTCAAAAATCTTAAAACTCACCCATTATAATAGGAGGAACTGCGGTGAACATAAGATTGTATGCCATCAGATGGAGCTGGTCGATCATTACGGCGGAAGAGAAACCGCAGTACAACTGATACCAGAATACTAGGAACACGAACGTCTGGAAAACCATTTAAATTTGTAAAAGACAAAGGAAGCAATATTAACTTGACATTGCCACAGTTAACTGTCGGCTGAAATTATCAGGTGAATTTGTTCTTATTTCTTTTATTTACTTTAAGCCTTTTAAAATATTTTCACTTGATTTTCAATTCCAAAATTCATTAATATTTCTAGTGTTTCAATTCAGAATAGGCAAAAATATTTTTTTTTTATTAATTTCAGGTTTACTTGTTTCTCTGTCAACATATGACTATTTTGTTAATTCAGTAATTTTAAAGCATAGCTACTGCTCCTCCTGCGTCATATTTTAAAATCTTCAGAACGTTTATAAAAGTGTTAAGATATATAAAATTATTGATTTCCGAAAGTTCTATTGATCGATTGAGATTTGAGATATTAATTGGTTGATCAAGATTATTGGCGTTACGTAGAGATGTGGGGTCACCCTGCATCGTTTCCACGTCCGTCGTTCCACAACTGAGCGTTTTTTAAGGCAGAGTTTGCCGCGCAACACCACTAAAGTATTTCCGAACAACTTCGACTTAAGGTCCTTCAAGAAAAGAGCGTACCAATTCTTAAAAAGCCAGCAATGCCGAGTGCATCTGGCCCTCTGGCACTGAAAGTGTCCATGGGCGGCGGTATAACTTAACATACATGCCCGTTTGCCCCGTGTTCTATAAAAAAATCGAATCCTACAAAGTTATATACTCACAGCATTCTTGAGGAAGAAGTAGAGTATCATCCTCGCCAGTCTGTCGTAGCACCAATGGCCATGAACGAGCAATAGTCGCTCGATGAATTTGAAGCGAGATAAGGCAAAATCCGACGCCATTACTGCCTGACGACCTTCCTGGCCTGATAGACCTGAAAATACGAATTTAATATACAATTCGGTTTTGCAATTTATAATTGTACTGAACATGTGTTCGTACTATTGTTGCCAAACGTTATACGTACATTCGAATAACGTTTTCTACTTTTTATGAAAAGTGTAATAAAATAAGCCTAAGCCAGAGAGATTTCATGATTTTTATGGGTTAGCAATATGTTACGTTGGTGTATAAAATTTAAAAAATACTTCTCCATATTGTTGATGTAGCCATAAGTATGGCTTTCTATTTTTTATGTTTAATTAGTTATAAATCTGTGGTCATCATATCATAGTTAAATTTGTGCTCTGTGATTCTTAGGCCTCTATTCGAGAACGGCAATCAAACTTCAATGTAATTTCAGGAGCTGTCAAACACAATTTTTAATGAGGTTTGACATATTTGACAGCGCTCAAGACGGACACATTCAGTTTAACACTGACTGAATCCAGAAGAGTGACATTGTCTATTTGTTATGGAAATTTTAGGTTATTTTCTCTTTTTTTTTAACGAATTAGTGTTAAGCTGTAATGGTGTAAATAAAAAAAACAATATTCAAGTTAAATTTCTCACCAACGCCAACATCCGCCGTCTGTATCATGGACACGTCATTAGCTCCGTCACCGATAGCCAACGTCGTCACACCCAACTCTTCCTTCACTGCCTGTTAATATTTTAAAAAGACTTCAAAAAATCTCCAGTGAATGCACGTTTCTATAATAATTGTGGTCGTTTACAGAGAAGCTGTTCGATTTTGATAATTGAGATAACTACCACGGCTGTTAAACGATTGCTGGTATTTGTTAAGACATATTTATTACACACATTGTTACTTGGTAATATAAAAATTAATTTTATAATATATTAAAACAAACATAATTTTCATATATAAATTAATCTGAGAGCAACCGATCAAAGTACATAAACATTTAAATTAATTGTTTGGTTTTCATTTAAATAATCATTATCTCATACTTTTTATTATATTTTTAAATCGTTTTTTTTTAAATAATTTCTTTTCTACTCAATTTAGCCAAATAGTCAAATACTAACTAAATAAGTTATAAGCTAGTTATTTTAAGTGTCTATATATGGTGTGTTTATATATATAATATATAATATATAGTTATCTTAAAAACTTCTTTTATTTATAGGGAATTCTAGTAAACTATTTGTTAGTTTTTTTTAGATATTTACCTTGACGATATATGCCTTCTGTAGAGGCGTGGCACGGCAGCAAAGCACAGCGGAACAGCGTCTAGCCAGAGACAAGAAAGGCGCGACCAATCCCGATCGCCTGTCAAGGATGTACGTCAACGTCCGTCCGTCAACTACAAGCGCACGACCCGTCCCGCCTTCCGTCACGCCTCCTTCGAGGTAACTCTTTATTGTTGATTCTGCGTGTTCCTGAAAAAAATAACAGCGAAAAGAATAAGTGTAAGAAGAGGTATGCGTCCAGAGCCCACTATAGAGCAAAAAAGTATCTATAATCTATATCCTACTAATTTTGGTTAAATTAAGAGATACTTAAGAAATACGGTACATATTTACAATGGTTTGTATTCTTAAACGTATGGGTGCTGTATTTGCAACTTTGTTAGCGTTACAAAAAACGCCGTTTTTAGATAAAAAGAGTAAGACTTCTAATTCTTTAATTTGTTTTTTTATGTAATGTATATACATACGTGCTATTAATAACGTGGTATTTAAATATATATTCTAAATAACTATTCTGGTTTGTTTACTGTATTTTTTTCAGTTAACTACAACAAACTGTTTGCGCGTTATCCGTGAAATAAATTTAAAAAAAAGGGCGCGCGTATGAAGTTATACTTCTTTGGCATTATTAAAAATAGTTTTTGATTGCATGCAAATAATTAATTACAATTAAATAATCAAAGACTGGAAAAGGAGTCATTATAGTAAATAAAGTTCAGTTTACATTTGAAAAATTAAATAAATAAATATTTATTATTATTCTCTTACATTAAGTGTAACATAAATTCTATTATTATTCGAATGTTGTTTTTAAATTATGTCTAATGCCGTAGCATCTTCCGTGGGCAACTTCATTCTGTTAATTTTGTGTCACGGTGCGCGCGCATCGTAAAATTTCACTCTCATCAATTTTTCATAACGCGCCTAAAGAAGTATAACTTCAAAAACCACAAAACTTTAGACACAGTTAAAGGGCAGTTCTAGAATACGGTACCGATCGTATTCTAAAATTTAAACTCAGATTCAAAAAGTCTTAGTGCTGTATAAATACATATATTTATTTGATAAAAATGCGTAATCAGTTAGCAATTGACGATTCTCATTCGTACATACCTTGTCCCTAGACATGAGGTGTAGAAGCCGATCGCTTTGCGAAAACAGAGCCGCTGAGTAGGCAATATTGATGGCAGTCTCCGGTTTATCCCCAGTAAGAACCCAGACCACGATCCCCGCGTCCAACAGAGCTCTTACAGTACGGGGAACATTCTCTTGGAGTCTGTCCTCCACTCCTGTCGCTCCTACTAATGTAAGTGCGCTTTCGAGGCGTGCCAATGATTCGCGAAGACGCTTTTCTCTACCTGAAAATGTAAAAGAGAAATTTGATAGTAAATTTACAATTGGGTCATAAATATACAATACATACAGCAGAAATGCTATAGTCGACACATTATGAACAGAGGCTTCGGGTCATAACTCACATTTATCTATCTCGCTTGCACTTACAGGTCTTATGGAGAGGTGTAAGTGCGTAAGAATTGTAGAGGTGCATATCGATAACGGGATAGGTACTATCGATATTCTAGTTTTGACCCAAGTCTCATCAAGATACATTAGTGGCCGTTGATCGTTGGTTTTCCTGAGAAAGTCCAATTTTCATAAAAAGTCCACTCTGTCACAGACTATTTCCGCTCTTTCCGTTAAATACTTTCGCAAATCGGCATTTTTTTTTCAAAATTTTTCTCATTGAAGAATATCCGCACTTAAAATTAGGCATTTTTTCTTGGTATTCTAGAACTCTACGATGACATCTACCCCGCGTCCTATTAGTCCTAGTCCAGGCTACCTATTGTCAGTGACATTTATTGCCCGACGACTCAGTTTGAAATGCGACGACAATAAAGTGTTTAATTCATGTACAATAAATTTATTATTAAAGGGGAAATCTTTCTAATAGTTACATTATTAAACAATATATGAAATTAGTGATTATAAAATAAAAATAAATAAAAGAGCCTTTATTCGAGTACACTATAACTACAGTATGTCTTAAGTTTTACACTAGTACTCGACCTCCGACGGAGTGAAGGCCTCCTCCAGATTCTTCCATTTGTCCCTATTTGTTGCGACAATTTTCCAGCTCTTTCCCGCTATCCCTTTTATCTCATCTTCCCAAGTTTTCGGCGGGCATTCTCTCTTTCTTTTTCCCACTGGGCCCTTCCAAGTAAGGGTCGTTTTGACCCATCTGCCATCACAAATGCGGCCAATGTGACCGGCCCATTTCCATTTTAATCTTTTTGTATATGCTACAATGTCTTTTATTTTTGTAACGTATCACCTCGTTTTTTAGTGATTGATTGAATGAATATAAACTGCACATATTGCAATATGGAAGTAGCAAATCCGATATAAAATAAATCTTTCATCACTTTAATGCTTTAGGCGCATTGCGTATGCGCTATGCGGATTTGGCCTCTGTTCAAAATATTGAAAATAGTCTATAACTTCGAAGGCAAAGTAAAACTAACACACGCTAAGTCATCGTTAATTATTTAAATAGAATTTATATGGTTTAATTGAACCTTGAAAACCTAATTAAAAGTAGCAAAACACGAAAAAAAATGCCGCGCGAGTTAATTTACGTTTTTTCGGACGGTTGATTATATTGTTTTAGGAGATAAATTCTTATGATCCAACTAGAATTCAAGAAAAACACTAGCTCTAGAACGAATTATTTAAAAATACTTGTGAATACGAATTATTTTAAATTAATATATACCTTCGCCAATTTCAGAAGCTCTATTATGTCCAGCCAACCACTCTTCCCATAAAGCAGGTTGCATTGTTCGCTTCGCCATGACAAGTGTACGTAGTCCAGCGCGCGAGTATTCGCTGAGCAACGAACGCGTTCGATCGTACGCGGCAGATTCCGCTGATCCCGATCTCATCGGCGCAAGGGCACCTAATACTGTACAATCTGCGCCTTTTACGTACAATAACACCTTAAAAATAATAATAAAATATATTAAAAGAAATTGTCTATCTATAAATATTTTTCCTCAATGAACATTATATTTATATTAATATTGTTTTGAAATGCCATGATTAATTATTACTTCAATTATATTTATAAAACGCGGACATTAGTGTCGCATTTGTTACTACACTCAGTCCTGCTAATGGTCTTTTCCATGCACAAAATCATTCTCTTCTTCGCTACGATGAGTAGACTTAAAAGACGGTTAATAATATACTTGAATAGTAATTTAATGTTTAATTAATTGGTTGTACCTGTCCAGTGGGAGCACGTAGTGCTATCGACATACACTTCCTATTAGAGTCGAATTGTTGTACGCGCAACACTTTTAACTTCGTGAGTTCTCCTCGTATTCCTATCTCCACTTCATCAGGCGCTCGCCCACGTAACTCGTATCCGTAAGCAAGTGCGGCTTCAGCTAGAGCCAGTTCATCCGGGCTTTCTGCTTCGTAACGGGCCAGCTGGAATTAGAATAAAAACATCTCTATATAAATAGGTGGATTTGGATCCTAAATGCCGTTTTCCCAATTGTTATTCTAAAGAAGCATCAGAGATATACCAATACCTGAAACATGGGACAGGTACACAAATGTGTAGTCCCTTAATAGGGTATACGTATCTTAATGATTGCTTCGTTAATCATTAAGTGATAGGCGAGCCACAGATACAATTAAAAGGTTATATGGGAATTTGTACCAACATATAACATATAGAGTGCGAACGAGAGATTTTATATTAGTTTTAGGGTTTTAATTAAAAATGTAATGTATAGTAAAAATAATAATTACGAATTAAAATATATATGAACTCAACATTACGAAATAAAGCGGCAAAATAATTGAAGGTTAAATTTATAACAATAGTTCGTAAGCAACAAGTGTTTGCAATTCTTCACTCATTACTATTACTTAGCACTGGAAACGTTTAGTTTGTTAATCGCAATTTGTTTTCCTGAAATAGGTTCAGCTAAATAAATAAAACAATAAATTACACGTTTTTATATGAAAACTAGTGGACCCCACAGACGTTGTCCTGCATGATATTTAAAGCGATTAGGATATTAAGCAAAGTATGAAAGTACCGACTGCAGTGCCATCTGCCGGGCTGATTTGTGAATCTAAACCATTCCCAGATCCCCTTGAACACACACAAAAAATTTCATCAAAATCGGTCCAGTCGTTTAGGAGGAGTTCAGTCACATACACACGCACAGAAGAAATATATATATTAAGATTTTAATACTAGCCACTAGCTATGCCTACACTGCGGTGTAGGTTTTATAACAAGTGTCCTTAGTGTCTATATAATACAAACTTAAATAGACGATTTCGACTAATATATAAAAAAAATTATTAAATTATTACACACAAAATAGCGTGTTAATTAACAATAATTTGTGTTAAAAATAAGCCTAAATATGTACTGAAACACGCAATTTTTATTTCAAGAAATTACTAACATTTTTAATCCACCTATCTGATTAAAAGTAATAATATAATAATCTTGAAAATGGTTATAAAAAATCATCTACTGAAACATTACCCCATTGTCGAAAGAAACCATTTTAAAATATATATTTAATTAATTTTAACCAAGATTTTTAACTATGTTACCTTGAAACGCCGTCAGATTAGGTCATTGTCGTGTTGTCATATACTAATGAATTATCGCTTAAGACCTTATACATTGAAATAATAAAGATCTGAATACCAAGGTAATTGTTTAAGAAAAATAATTAATTAAAACGACGTATTTTTACGCATATTTAACCAACATTAATGTAAATATAAGAAAATATTTTTAAATTTTTTTAGTCTCATTAATAATCTGTGCCTTCGTTCGCGTGTTATCGATGAAATATATACAGAAGTGATCTAAGAATAAGGAATGACAGCCATGTTTTTTATTACACGAACTATTTGCAAACCTTTTTGCCATAACTTTATGCAACACAAACAAGTGAAATTAAGAAAGAATATTATTTAATTGAATATAAAACTGCAAACATATATTATGTCAAGTTAGTATGCAAAATTTAAAAATATAATTAATAACAATATAATTTATAATATGCGTGAGCAGTGTGGGTTGAAAGAGGAATTGATAAGGATACGCTTAGCTCTTTTGTCTTTGTACAATGGATGTATGAAAATCGGTTAACAATCGGGTTGGGTAGGCATTGTCGTACATACTTCGACCAAATCCAGAAGGAAAACGTTAAAAGTACCCATAACCGACGAGAATGCAGGGTGAATGAAGCGAGAGATATTTGTCAAAACCGTAGCAAGAGGAGATCCGTGGTCTCTGCCTACCGTGTAAATAAATAATAATACAAAATCCTAATATGTCGATTTGTAAACCTATAACGCATGATTCCCACCTGGCTAAAAGCACTGAACCTTTAAAAATCTAATCGCTTTCCCTTTGAAAGCTTAATAAGGTATAAAAACTAAGAGTTTTCGACGAAATACATAGGTAAATATCTTATATAAAAACTCACTTGAACTTCAGCTGATGAGCTTGGCTCGCTCGAATTGTCATCCCTACTTCCAAATGACAGTTTCGGTAGTCGTATGCGCAATGGTGACGTTGTCGAAGGTGGCGGTGATGGCGTTGTCGATCTAGATTCAGTTAAGCGAGCGTACCTGAAAGACTTGGGCTGTTATTGAGGGAATCAAATGCCAACTCTGCTATTAAAAATAATAACAACTATCAAACTCTTTCAAATTTAATCCGAAACCTACATTTAAATATGCGACACGATTGTTTTTGTAAAGGCAAGTCCTTAGAGTAAGATACGAGTCGATACTTGGCGCTAAGTATGACTTCTGTATGTCAAAAACACTTTGACGTACAGGAGTATTAACTTGCGCTCAACTGTTCTTAGCTTCAGATCAGATGATTAGATATACTTTTGTCACACTGTAAAATTATTGTAATAAATACAGACGTAAAGTTTTTGTACTGAGGCAGTTGTAATAGCAGAGTTGACGGGTTATAAATACATCGAAATATAATAAAATATTAAAACTCAGTGTGATGTTTTTACTCAAGATGAATATTCGATGCCTGTAAGCACCTGTTGCATTCACGCGGTGAATTGAAACAAAACACGATTCGGTTAATGGTAAGTGAACTAAGCAATTTTAAAATTAGAACGTTATGTGAGTTGCAATGGTGAAATCATTGGGCGTGTTTGGCCGAAGTAAGTACTTACTAAATTTAGTAAGTCACTTACTATGCTTACAAAATTTTCGGCCGGGACACAAAATAAGTGCTAACGCAGTAAGTATGGCTTAATATACGACGCCATTTTGCTTATTGTTGATGTAAACAAAACGGACAATAAAATATCCAATAAAATATTTCTCATAAAATTATCCATTTGAAACTATTCACAGGTATTAAATTATATTCCTAAATTTAGTACTGTCAATTATATTCAGTCTATGAGGTTATGTACGGGATATGACATAAACCGGTGTTTTGTGTTATGTTAATAAGCCAGTAAGTCTGTCCTGGCCGAAAAGCGCTACAGTCAGCTTGTAAGACTTTAATTTTTTTATGCTTACTGGCTTACTAAGTTTAGTAAGTACTTACTTCGGCCAAACACGCCCATTAAATACTAAGTATTCTGTGATCGTTAACCAAAACCAATAGAGTAAAGACAGAATATAATTCCGATTTTGAATTTGTCTGTAATTTTTTCTGTAAATAAATTCAATTTTTTTAAACTGAAATTTACTACAGCCAGTATCTGTATTTATTGTCATGTAAACTATCGGTCATACAGCATCGATTAGTCACAGAACATTTTTATTTGGTATTTATTTGCTAAATGGTATGAGAGTGATAACACACAATAGCTATTTGATATGAATTATGTTTAGTTGCCGCTTTGAAAATTCTTTATTTTTAATGATTTTGATTTAAAGTGCGAATGTGTACATGACTAGTGACAAATATCAAACTGTATACACCTTAGCAAAACTCTGGAGATACTACCACATACTTGAATTGTTATACTCCTAAACACCAGTTTGGTTTGACATGCGTAAACATTGAAACCAGTTAAAATACTTTTGCAAAAAAACTAAAAGCCATCTCTTTCTAATTGTAAGTATTAAACAGTGATAGCGACAATTTCAAAAAGTCTAAATTCGTAGACAAATATGAATTTCAACTGAGAGTACCTACTCATTTGTTTCTTTTCGTCACAGCGTCATCACAATTTGACAGAGAGAGACGAAATAATACTAATGTAAGAAGATTGCATTTGGACTGTTTTTATGAATGGGGTAGTATTTTCTACTAGTAGTACAAACAAACTCGAAACTCGAGTACCATCAGAAGTTCATTGTATTAAATATTCCACAAAATGAATTCGTTGATTCAATGCGATTAATTAATTTAATTTAAATTAAGAACTTTGTACTATATAAGAATTGACTATTATGATATGAATCATAATGTAATTGTAACTTCTCTGTTATCTTTAAAGACAAATTTGAACGCCATTATTGGCTTCATTGGGCGACTCTCATCCCTGAGGTCGTAGATTCGATCCCTGGCTGTGCACCAATGGACTTTATTTCTATGTGCGCATTTAACACTCGCTCGAACAGTGAAGGAAAACATCGGAAGAAAGTGAAGGAAAAAAGTCGACGGAGTGCGTCAGGCACCAGGGACTAATCACCTACTTGCCTTTTAGATTAACAAATGATCATGAAACAGATACAGAAATCTGAGGCCCAGACCTGTAAAGATTGTAGCGCCACTGATTTATTTATTTTTTTATTTTTATGTGTGGCAGAATATTATTGTACCATATTCTTGCAAAAAGGTTATTATTATTATTCAACAGCCATACTATTCCCACTCTACTTACTACATAAACAGAATTTGCCTACAAATTTATCAACCCTAGTATTTAGTTTATAGTAAATGTACTAAAAATCAAATACAAACTTATCGTTTGATCGCAGCGTTCCGTTGGCTTTCGAGGACTTTTGCGCCTGAAACTGATCGGTGGTTGAGTTGCTCAGCGAATCGACGTGCGGCTGACTGACTACAACTGTGTTGCACACTGCAAGAATTAATAGGAACTCTCGTACCTGCAAAGAACACATTCGTTAAACTCAAACTCAAAATATCTTTATTCAAGTGGGTAACCAAGTACACTTTTGAATTGTCAAGTTAAATTAATTATAAATTTACATTTACTACCAGTTCGCAAGTCAAGGGCGTAGAGCGGGTAAGAAGAACTGGCAAGAAACTTTCCGCCACTCTTTTTAATCGCCAAGTATTGTCATACAAATAGTTTGAACTGGAGCAAATCAATCCCAAGGATTAGGATCATTTAAGTATTCCTCAAATTTATAAAACGCTTTATTGATTAATTGCCGTTTAACGAGGGCTTTGAATTTATTTAGTGATAATTCTCTAATTTCGCTTGGGAGTTTGTTGTAAAAACGATATGTTATGTTGCTAGTAGGTATTTATGACTGATTACTGTACACTGTAATAAGAGAGGCGTTGAAGAAACTGGTGGAAACAGATAGTCCAAATGTTTTCTTGTTGACCACGACGCGGATATGAGCTACCGACGAGAGAGATATAGTACATCGTCGCTGTAGAATGATAACCTCGTATGTCCAGAGAACCGAGCATTACAGGAAACGAAAAAATGTTTCATTTCGTCAATGTTCGTTTGTTTTTGCCCATAGTTTTGTACATGGTAAAAAGGAATTATTTATTAATAACATAAATAAGTCCTTACTTCATGATTATACCAGTTAAATGACATAAGAGTCTAAGAATATAAAAAAAGGGTGCGTGTACTTATGTACGCGCGTAAGAAGTTATACTTCTTTGGCATTATTAAAAATAGTTTTTGATTGCATGCAAATAATTAATTACAATTAAATAATCAAAGACTGGAAAAGGAGTCATTATAGTAAATAAAGTTCAGTTTACATTTGAAAAATTAAATAAATAAATATTTATTATTATTCTCTTACATTAAGTGTAACATAAATTCTATTATAATTCGAATGTTGTTTTTAAATTATGTCCAATGTCGTAGCATCTTCCGTGGGCAACTTCATTCTGTTAATTTTGTGTCACGGTGCGCGCGCATCGTAAAATTTCACTCTCATCAATTTTTCATAACGCGCCTAAAAAATTAACTTCAAAAATATATTTTTTTAATGTTATACTTCTTTAGGCGGAGGTTATCATTCTACAGCGACGATATTATCGTATAGTAGTATGTTGTATAGTTTTATACCTTAAATTACTTTGCAAAATTTGTTACCAAGTATTATCATGTTTTGATTGAAGTACGTATCCAAACCCTTTATAGCATACATTAAATTTCTTCAAGAAAAGAGAGTCAAAAGGCCAAAAGGCCGGCAACGCACTTGCGAGCCTTGTGGCAATGTGAGTGTCCATGGGCGGTATCACTTAACATCAGGTGAGCATCAGCGTTTGCGCCCTGTTATATATATTAACAAATGTACTCTAATAAAATCAGACATTTTAACAGTTGATTCGCACAGGCGACATACAGGTTACATACAGTTAGTTCGAATGTACTTCTGGAATTATTTTTCTTGGAAACTATGCGGACCATTAATAAAGCTAGTAGTAACGTAAACGAACATCAAAAATCCCCTTTATATAAATATCAGCGACACAATCTAATAAATCATTCACATCACAAAGGCGGAATTGAAAGCAATATTAAATCAATTACACTTAACCGAATGTCATTATCTGATAAGAACTAATTACATAGTTGTTTAGATAGCTTATTGACACCGATATGAGTAATTAATATAGTATATCCCGAGATAGCGATTTATGGCAACAGTCAAAGTTTTACGAATGCCAAAATCTGTTCTTTATTTGAATACGTTAATTGAGAATAGTTTGACTTTGAGTAGCGATTTCTATAAATTTATTTCTGTTTTCTAATATTTATTTATTTACACTTCTTTTCATTTGTAGAAAAAGAAATAACATAATACATAAAAATTATAAGGGATGCAACGGGCGGCCTTTTCGCTATCAAGCGATCTCTTCCAGGCAATCCTAGTAAGGAAAAAACTAAAAAAATAAATACGAGGGGAGGTCCAAAAGTTCGTGGAATGAAAGGGTTTTAGTAAAAATGAAACAGTAAATTTATTTTTCCTTTTCAATATAATCACCCTTAAGCTGAATACATTTATTAGATCTATGAATTAATTTTTCTAAACCATCGTAAAAATATTTTTTATCTTTTCCCTCAAAATGAGCCAAAATTGCCTCCTTTACCTCATTGTCGTCGGAAAATTTCCTTCCCCTTAAGTCTTTTTTTAAATTGGGGAACAAATAAAAATCACTTGGGGCCAGATCTGGACTATAGGGTGGGTGGACTAGTGATTCGAAGCCATGCGTGTGTAGAGCAGCCATTGCAACTTTGCTCTTGTGAACCGGCGCGTTGTCTTGCAAGAGCAACACACCCTTGGTCAATTTTCCCCGACGTTTTTCTTTGATGGCATCCTTTAATTTTTCTAGTATTGTTGCGTAGTATTCTCCGGTTATGGTCCTGCCCTTTTCTTTATAATCAATCAGTATTATCCCCTCACAATCCCAAAAAACAGTAGCCATCAACTTTCCAGCCGACTCCGACACTTTGAATTTCTTTGGCGGTGGTGTCCCCTTTTTATGCCATTGCATGGACTCTTGTTTGGACTCAGGCTCGAAGTGATGAACCCATGTTTCATCGCCGGTAACAATTCGTCCAGCGAGGTCGGCCCACAAAACCCCAAAAATGTTTTGACGCTTCGACGTGGTGAGCATTCTCGGTACCCATCTTGCACTGACTTTTGTCATACCCAGGTGGTCATGTAGAATTCGCAAAATTGTGGTATCTGATACTCCAACTAATGCAGATAACTGTTTTTTCTTCAAACGGGTGTCCTCCAGTACAATTTTTTCCACTTTTTCGACGATGTCTGATGTGGTGGCCTCAACTGGCCTTCCTGAGCGGGGGTCGTCTTCAATCGACTCCCGACCATGTTTAAAAAGACCATGCCATTTGTAAATCATTGATTTACTAGGGCACTGTTCCCCGTAAACAGTTTCCATTTCATTCAAAATGGTCTGAGCGTTCTTTCCTTGCTTGGTAAGGAATTTAATGACAGCACGGTGTTCAATTTTCTCCATAGTTTCAGTTTTCTTCCGGATTGACGTGTTTAGCAGGCGAGTGTTCCTAAACGAATGACGCAATAGGGCTGAAACTCCATTTATATACTAATTATGAGTCCCCAATTAGTATGACACTAAGCGAGCGCCCCTATCCCCACTCCATCCCCTCCATTCCACGAACTTTTGGACCTCCCCCTCGTATGTTGAGTAAAGTGCAAGAACCATCAAAACTTATAAAAAAACAACCGTATTCTAAAATAAAACTAAAAATTAAACTTAGCTAATTGTTTAATTGCGATGTAATACAAAATAATAAGGAATACAAGAATTACAAAAGTCACGATTGAGCAGGAAAGGAAGAAATGTTTATGTATTGCCTAAAGGTCGATTTACATCAAACGAGCGAATGCTCATTCTATCCCCACTACATCAAATTCTTCTAGTGTAAACAGGCGTAGAGCATTCTTTCGTTGTTCTTAGTGCGTTCGCAAAGATTCTATAGAATATTCTAAGAATGCTCGTTCGCTTGATGTAAACGGCGCAAGAGCGCGCGAACAGTTGCTTAGAGCGTTCTAGCGTGTTCGGACGTGCTCGCGCCACTGAGCGGTCTTTTCAAAGCGTTCTTGTGTTCTAGCTCTAGCTCTATGTTCGTTTGATGTAAATCGATACCTCTAGCTTTCGTTTACACTAAAAGATTACGAAAGAATGCTCTTGTTTTAGCTCTAGCTCTATGTTCGTTTGATGTAAATCGACCTTAAGAAGGATGAGCTGTGATGGAATTTTCATGAGCCTTAAGATAAGCTTTTAGTTTTTATTTAGGTTTTGTAATTGTCTATATTTTTTTTTTTACTTTACTCGTAGTCCTTTTTTCCTCACTATGGTTGCCTTAAAGATATCCCTTGTTAACCGCGATAAGGCCGCCTTTTACGCCTTAATTTATGTTATCTGAATATATATGTACAATTCAACAAAGTGTTGATAAATAAAATAAATAATTTCCAATTTACTTAACGGCAGGTATAACACAAATAAACTTACTTTTTGGGTATGCTGCGCGTCATTGCTGTCTAGTAAATGTTGAAGCATCCTACGGTTAGGTGACACTTTTGTTATAGGTGTTACAATGGGAGGAAGGTCACTCGACGGTTCAGCATCCGGACCAGGCGGGTGATCGTAATCTACACCTCCTACTGTGCATCGTCTAAACACCATTTTATTTTCAGTCAACGTCCCCGTTTTATCACTAAACAAATAACTTATTTGACCCAATTCTTCTGTGATGTTTAACGCTCGACACTCTGTCCGCGTATTCGTAACAGAATCGTACATCTCCACATCCTGATGTATATGATACACTTGTATCAGTTTCGTCATTTCAATGGTTACATAGAGAGAAACTGGTATCATTACTTGCAGTATAATTATGTAAGTCCAGAAAATCAGCAGGCCCTCGTACGCTGGCAGGTCGGCGCGAGGAATGAAGGGAGGTAGTTTGTTGACGTACGGGTAGTAATTGTCGAACCATATCTTACAGCCGACAGCACCAGCGCAGCACAGAAACAACAGTACTAAAACACACCATATAACATCTGTGTTCATTTTCTTTTCCAATTTGGAACATTTATATCTGGGGCCGCCATTGTTGAGCATGGCTTTCGTTTCGTGTCCCGCATACACAACAATGCCTTCTACGTAGTCCGTGTTCTTGATAGTGCAGTCTCGTAAAAGAAGATTGTCCGAATTTAGAGGTACCCTAATTCCGTTTGGGTGTGAAATGTAGCCTGTAAATCTGTATATTTTCGTGGACGGTCTTTCCACTTCCACTGTACTCTTGAATTTTATTGGGTTGAACTCGAGCCGCTGAAAAAGATTAATATATGAGAAATTTCGGGGAAAGCCATTCTCACGGGTTATTTTCTAGATAATTACGGTAACATTCAAATATAATGTTTCGCGTCATGGCTATCAAATTATGCAAACAATTTAAAGCGACAGCTTGAGAATCGAGGTTAAACATAGATCGAGTTAACAGTTCACTGGGTATCTAGATGTTCTACATATTGGACAATGGCACAATAAGCAATTTAAATCTTTGTTTTGACGTTATATGTATAAATTAGAATACTTATGAGATAAACAAAATAACTAGTGTTAGAATAAAGAGTGTGAGGAACCAACTAGAATCTTGCCTAATATAATTCCGTTTTAAAACTAGTTTTTCAGGGCTGCGACTAGACATTTAAATCCTTTTATAGATCGTTTTAAAATGTATAATGAACTTAAAATAAAAAATAAATCAGTGGCGCTACAACCATCTTTAGTTCTGGGCTTCAGATTTCTAAAAATGTTTCATGATTATTTGTCAATCTAATAGGCATAGTGATCAGCCTCCTGTGCTAGACACACGCCGTCAACGTTTTGGGTCTAAGGCAAGCCGATTTCCTCACGATATTTCCTTCACCTTTCGAGCTAATGTTAAATGCGCACATAGAAAGAAAGTCCTCAGGCATGAGTGTTGCACTCAGAAGCCACTAGGCCAACACTGCTTTCCTTAACATATAGTATATTATACTTTATTTCAATACTATGGGAACATTCACACCTTGGTAAATACGTTACCTTTTCCTTAAACCCTGGCGCAACAATCCGTTGTTTAAGGTTGGTTTCGCCATCCAGATTGCAGGTATCCAGGTAGCAGATCCCAAGGGGGTTCGACGAGTGTAATAACACCATATCAGCTGGCACTGGCTCGTTGTTCGAGAGGTGAACCAGGTCACCCACTCGCACGTCCCTCCATTTTAACCGCACGTATCTTTCCATCGATCTGTGGAAAGAGAAATCTGTTACAGAATGCAATTCATGCATACTCATTTAAAACCCACAAAATGATTATTCGCTAGTATAGGCCAATTTAAAATTATCATACATAAATCAAGTGTAATTTTACATATGGGAATCGTGAAACTATATACTTGAGGTTAAAGACCTATCTATAACCCGAAAATTGGGGTCAAAACCCCAAAATAGTCATAACCGTACGTACGTGCGTAAGTACGTGTACTGCAAACTTGTATTACCATGTAAGTAATCTTAAACTTATCTAATATATAAACTTCTCGTGTCACAATGTTCCCATACTCCTCCGAAACGGCTCGACCGATTCTTATAAATATTTTATGCATATCCAGTAAGTCTGAGAATCGGCTACTATCTATATTTCAAATCCCTAAGTGGTAAGTATCCACACCAAAAACAATTTTTTAATTTTTAGACAATTTGTTTTGTTTTTACTTTTTTATGATACAACATACAAAAATACATACTACCCTTAAATTTTTATTATAAACGATAGTTATTTTTATTGAACTAAAACAATGTTTCTTAGAAATAATATACATGGCAAAACAACGTTTGTCGGGACAGCTAGTTCTTAAATATATTGCTTATTTGGTCGCCATAAACGTCCGCTTATTGGCAAATATTATTTATTTATTTATACTTTATTACCTTATTCAAAAACATACACATATTATCATTTTGATGAAGAAATTAATCGGATGTAATATGCTATTAAATTTAAATAGATTGCGATATCATTGCATCTCATTAAGAATATCATTTGACAATTGACATATCACTTCTAACGCCTAACCTAAAAAAAATATATTTGGGATGTACCATTTCTCGCACAACGGAATATTTGCTTATGAAAAGGTTAAAGTGTGGGCGGTGTGCTATTCATAGCTACCCGAAGATACCGTATAGGTAAAGGCAAAATTTAAAAAAAAACATATGACATACTTCTTAATCTTAAAAGACTTTTCTCTGAGTAGCATAATATTTTTAAATAGGGGCCAAACGGGCACTCTGAACACTCAATATCAGAGGGCTCTCGAGCGCGTTGCCGGCCTTTTAAAAATTGGTACGCTCTTTTCTTGAAGGACCCTATATTTATTTAGTTCTCACGTTCTTCAATCTAAAACGTATAAGGGACATAGGTCGTTCGAGCCGTGTCAGGTGTGTTGTGGCACATGTGCCGATATAACTAGGCCTGTATAAACACTATAAAATTAGCTTTTTATTCTCGGATATATATAAGGAATCTTCTTAACAGTTAATAGAACTTTATTAAGCAATTTCGCAACTTCCAACTGGCAATGAATTGCTCCGATATAAAAGCTATTTCGAGCTTACGTCTCAATAACAATGATGTTATCAGAAGGGCGAGGCTTTATTATGGCCCCGAAGACTGGAGCAACAAGTTGTCTTTGTATTATACTTGGATAATAGAATTTTTTTATTTGTTTTATACGGACTTAACTCTTTGGTACACTAAAAAACTGCTTATAACAGCCAGAATAAAATGCTATAATGTTAACTATAAATTAAATTTCTCACGACCCTTTGTACGTTATTATTATATTCTACAAATTAAAAAAAAAACACCGAACCTAATTATTTACAGGTAAGGCATATTTCGCTTCTCGGCAATGACACATGGCAAACTTTTAATATGCCTTTAATTAAATCCATTGTTATAACAAAAAAAACCTTATCATATAAATATTTCAATATTTGCAAATGATGTCACTACATCGAAATTTCTTATCAATACCTTGTAATACCCACTGATAATACTTGATAAAATATTAATTCTAATTTTTCCAGGAATCCCAGAGTTTATCTTTTCTGGCTATTTTAATATTCCTATATATACTAATTGGCTCAATTTTAAATAAATAAACTATAATATATTATATATAAATAAACTGAGGCCCAGACCTAAAAAAAAAAATAGGTCTGGGCCTCAGTTTTCTGTATCTATTTCGTGACCATCTGTTATTTCTAATAGGCATGTACAGCCTTCTGTGCCTGACACACGCCGTCCACTTTTTAGGGTATATGGCATACCGGTTTTCTCACGCTTTTCTTCAAGGTACTGGCGAGTGTTAAATGCGCACATAGAAAGTCAATTGCCGGGGAACCTACGACTTTAGGAATGAGCATGCTTAACCGCTCCCCTTTTATATAATAATCAAACAGAAAAAATCAGATAGTTTTTCGTTAAGTCACACTTATCGAACCTTTTATTGATTCGTGTTATAATTGCGTTTTAATTACCCTGTTATCACGTATTTGTATCTTTATAAAGTCACTCACCGACATTAAGGGTCTGTTTCACAATGTATGAATAAAGTAACAAATAGCTATGCAACACATAAATTATTTGGAAGATAAATTGTGCTATTTGACACTTCATCGGACTCATAACTTATGATGGACTTTATGTGACGAATAGCGCTATCTGACAGTGGTGAAACGCAGCAATAGTGTTTATTCTACCAATAAGTAATAAATAGCTAATTTGGAACTTATGTAGAACTTATCCGTACATTGTGAAACAGACCCTAATACGCTTACATCATTTACGCAACGGTTTTTAAGGTACACAGGTTTACAGTTAGTCCATTGAAAAGTTACATTTGGGTTGCGTTTTTTAGAGGACGCAATTTTATTTTTTTGATGTGTAGAGGGGGTCAGTGTAAAGCTAAAAACAAGTTTGTGGGGTCACCACCCTTGTCCCACGGCCGCCATTTTGGAAATAGGGGTTGAAATGGTATTTACGATATATCTCTTAAACTATTTATTTGATAAAAAAAATTTGTTAACATTTTTTGTTGCAAATTATATTCTCTACAACTTTGGTCCAGTAACTTTTTGTCGTAGAACTATAAATAAAAAAGTTATAAGCGAAAATCTTCAGAAATACGAGAAAAAAATTATATTTTTCAATGTAACTTTTCTTTTATCATTTTAGGAAAAAATTATTTTTTTCTGACCATTTTTGTAGATCGATTTTTGAGGTTACGAGGTTATCATTGTACAGCGACAATATTGGAATCAGACTCCGCGCATAGTTTCCTAAATCTTATCGTTAAATTAGACCCCTATTTTTACTCAAATGAAATCGCGCAATAGCTAGTTAGTGTGACTGGAAATGTTCAAGGCCGCATTGTATATTATCGGCATATAATACATATAACAAATGAAGCAAACAAGCGTTTCTTTTGTTTACACGACAATGGAGTGACGATAAACAATAAATAATTAAAAAGCAATCGAATCTAATGGAAAGTGACTTAGGGTGACTACAAGTTTGCTTGGCGTGTCTACAATCCAACAAATTATGTTTAATGGTTTAATAAATGCCGAAATGCACCTATACATCGATTATGACCCATCTCACACGGACTCGCCCGTCTACCATATGCCGACAGTGAATAAAATCTTATTTAGAGGCGGTGAGAACTTGAAGAAACTGATCGTGGTTGATTAAACTGAAGATAACGTGGCCATTTACCAACCGATCAAGTGAAAGACTCAAAACTGTAATAAGAGAGGCGCTGGACAAAACCAATGGAAACAGATTGTCCACCCCAGATGTTTCCTTGCTGACCACGACGCTCATATAGCTATCGACTGAAGAGAGAGAGAGAAAATAATGCAACTTATATACGAATTATTTTACTTAATTTAAATAAAGACTGATTTATGAAACTAAACAACAAAGGAGAGCTTAAGTAACCGTTAACTCATAATGAACGATTAAAACCAGACTTAGACTAGTTTTTATTATTATTATAAAATGTATATACATTAGTACATCATGTAGCGTATAAAAAGCAAAATAAATGAATGCAATTGACGGGACAATACAGCATTTGTTAAGGACGCATCAGAAAATCAATTAAATTACCAGTATACATGTTACGAGTCGTCAAGTTCGTGTAAACCTAAGCGATTTTGATTGCTCTAAAAATTAATGGAAAATGAAGTACATGGTCTTCCATGTCAAGGATTTACACGGTTGAATCCGCAGTCAACAGGTTAAATTCACGTGTTGATTTGTAATAACATATTAACTTTAAATATGATATTTTGTACAACTCTTCAGGGCTTATTTTACAAATAAAATTCTACCGTAATGAATATTAACTTTATAAGTTGCTCAATTGGAATCATTTAATATTTGTCACCCTTTCAGCAACTATAAGGAGCGAAAAGGTATGGAGATGTATAGCCACCGGAGCCCCGTTACAGTGCAAGTCAAAGAGGGCTTCAAACGGCAATAGTCACGGTAGCACCGGTGGTGGTTTTAGACGCTTACCGGGTTCTCTGTTTAGCAAAGAACCTAGCTTCCTCGAGTCCTACGTACCTATGCTCAAAGTATCTCCAACTCTTAGGCTCTCAGTTCAAGATTAATTCAAAGAGTCAGAACTTCTGTGTATAGCGTAAGTCTAGGTGTTAATATGTATAAAAAGTAAACACACGCCTTCATTCAGTCAGACAATAGTAACATGATTAATTAGAAAAACGCATTGCTACACGTTTCATATTTGTAGCTACAAGATTTTTTAATTCTATTGTAAACCAAACTTTAAAATGTATTTGTATTAAATTTTTACAGAGCTTTGAATAAAAGATTCGTAAACAAGTAAAGTATTTAGATAATATTTAACAAAAATACCATTTTATTACGACTTTTATGTATTGCCTTTACTACTATGAATGTTTATATAATACATATATTAAATAACTATACTTCAAGGAAAGTTTCTATAACATTCTACGCCAAATGGGAAAATTCTGCACATAAACCAAATCTCACGTCGAGTTGACTCATGCCTATTAAATCCAATGTATACAAACAACATTTACTGCTGTTTGAAAACAACATGATCTTTAATAAGAATTTTTAAATATTAGAAAAGTTTCGAGGTACATATTTCTTTAATTTAACAATGCCAAGTACGCGAGGA